TTCAAAATTCATGCTAAAATCTCATTTTTACTTTTACTGACAATTTTTAAGCATAAAGGCTAATTTTTAAAAGTTAACTTGTGTTACATCTTGTATTCTAAGCTGGAAGCACAAATATCAGCTAGCATTTGCACTCACGTGCCGGTTTATCCGTGGTTTATCGTAAACAAACTCGGTGTAACTGGCAACTGATTCGAATATTTCCGCTGATGAATAGAGCTAGTCAGCATTTATATTGCTGTTCCTTAATTCTGGGTTACTCGTATAGATCTTGGCTTCAGAGTATTCTTCCATCGATTCAATTTTGAGCTTCGTTGAATACTGAACTATTTTTGGCCATTGGAACTAGGTAATTAAATGCAACGAAATTTGTTTAACGTACTCAAAATATAGCCAATGAAATATAGCTGTTCCTACGGTTAATATGCCAAAGCCAACTGAAGGCGATTCAAAGTCGTGGTCGTGAACAGAATAAATAATCGTTATCCCATTTATGTAACGAAAGCACGTCATATCGCATCCTAACAAAAGAGGCCACTCACGGTCCAGAATCAAAACAACAAACAAGCGAACGCGATCTAAAAAGCAAATCACCTTGTTTACACGTGAACCGTCCCATGAAACTTGACTCGAGTCTGCATTAGGACTGCGTTCTACGAACGCAACAATCCTTGCCAAATACGATCGTTCTTCGCTGAGTTTTCTTAAGTGCTAGTTTTAGCCTTTTAAAACACGATGGAAAAAAGGCGATGCGAATAACAACCACTGAAAATTATACAGGAACCAGAGAGCGACGCCATTCTCTATCAAAATAAAAACACAGACACTTTTTGTCCTCATTCCGTGAGACAAAAAGAGGTTACTCTGTGTCATTAAAATTTAGACTCTCTTACCTTTATAAATCAGCGACAACGAATCTGGAATACAGATCACATCGATCACATACTCGATCACATACTCGATCACATTGAAGCCGTGTCGACAGACGCCATTACAGAGATTATACTGTAACTCAGTCTCTCGAGTGAACGCCCGGCTTATGTCATGTTACTTAGTCGGGGGCGGCGGGGTGCTGGAAAAGGAGGGAGGGGAGGGGGGGTGTCAGAGGCCAGGGCAATTGTAGCACTTTTTGCGTGGTTGAATCTGTTGAATGGACATGACTTCACACGCAGTCAAAAAGTACATTTTTCTACGGCTAGCGGGAAAAGAAAAAAATCAATGTGTCATCTGTGTCATCGAACTCACGCAATATCTGCTTACAAATCTTGCTTTTGAAACATAAATATGTAAAAAGTTGCAAGTATCATAGCTATTCCCAGCAATCTGGGTGTTATATTTTAAGTGTTTTAAAAAAATAAAAGTGGAATGTTTTGTTCTGTTTTGTTAGTACAGTGAAACTCTCGGGACCTTCCTAAGTGTCCGATTAATAGAGGGTGTCCATAACAATTGCGCAATGTTTGTTAACAATTAATATTCAACAGTTCCTCTGTACTGTAATAAAGTTCCAGATTGTTAACGAAGCTTTCCAGAGTTCAAGTTCATCGGCTTTCATTACCATCTTTACTTTGTTTGTAACAATGCCCTTTAAATACAGAAACGATAATACGGGTATATTTAATCGACTATTTCAAGGACGTAATCCAATGCCACATCGTCAATTCAGTCCGGTGTCCACTTAATAGAGGTTTTTAACAATAGAAATTAGCCAAATACAATTTAACGGGTGGCGGATGGTAAATGCGAGACTTTGCGAGACGACGAGATTAGCGTTTTTCTTTGGGAGCCCGAGACATTTTGATTTCTTCAATTGCGAGACAATTGCTTTGAATGCGTACTTAAGACGTTCAGGTTCTAAGATGTTGTAATGTCATTTAACTTTACTAAAAAAAATTAACAAATCGGTACTTCGTGACTTTCTTAGCCTTGAAAAAAAATCGAGACTGCGAGACAGCTTTGTGAGAAAAATCGAGACTGCGAGACGCACATCACCGCTAAAAAACGAGACTGCGAGACCTGTGAAATTCGGCGAAAATTTTGCGAGACCCATGGTTTTTGAAGGACCATTCGCCACCCCTAATTTATTTTAGTGTCTGCGTCCGCTTAATAGAGGTGTCCGCTGAATAGGGGCTCGTTGTAAAGGAAAATATGAGACGTTAATTTTGGGACCAGGTTAAGTGTCCGCTTAATAGAGGGTGTCCGCTTAATTGGGGGTCCGTATGCGGTCCCTTGCAGTTTCTGGTTTCTCGTTTAATAGAGGTTTCACTGTAGTTTGTTCATGTACTCGCTGATATACCATGTTGTAAATAATGTTTGTATGTTGAAATAACGCATGTAATACACCTGACGTTACTAATCGAATCGTTCCGGTAGTCGAACTCAATCGAAATTAATCGAACGACTGGGTTCGATTAGTTCGCGTATCGAACAAAATCAAATCCAAAAATTTGTGTCAGAGAGTTCGATTGCGTTCGATTTCCGAACTAATCGAACCCAGTCGAACTTATTCAAACACGATAGAAAAATCTTAAATTTACCCTAATACAACCGATAATTGAACAGTCTGTCTAAGTAAGAGTTACAAATGAATAATTAACTAGTAATATTTTTATTGATTTATAGACTTTTGGCATGGAAAATACATGTAAAATCGCAAAAAAACCCTTAAGAACCTTAAGGAACCTTACGAGAACCTTAAGGTGGCTCGTACCAGTTTTCAGGTTTTTGACGGCTCATAACTTTGTAAGAATAGAGCAAAAAGACAGACCAGGGCCACTGCAATATTTTTGTAGGCTTGGATTATGCAATTTATACTTGACCTAAAACAGCTGTTATTTTGTCGTCACCAGTTACCATGGCAACATTCCAAAAGGATTTTCCAGATCTGATTTTTCGCTTATGTCACTAATAACTCAAAAAGTAACCCGGTGACCCCGAGTTTTTTTAATCAATAACTTTTGGCTTCTGAAAATGAAAATGCACAACAATTTTAAAATAATTTTACGGAGCCGATTTCTTGTAAACTTGGAAAAACGGCAATTTGCATTAAGTGCAAATTTCGTTCCGTAGGATTTTTAAATATTTTTTCTGACGTTTCTTCTCAATGATAATATTATATTAAAACAATGAAAAGGAGAGGTCACCGGGCTTGTTTTCATGTAAAAGCCTTCGCGAGTTCCGTTATTCCCACGCGCGTAGACACGCATTCAAAAATCCAGACTTTATAAGATCAACAGTTGCTCACAGTTGCTTATGAGCCGTTTTGACTACCGCTGACTGCTTCGCGTGCCCGCGCGGGCGAGCGGGCTCCGAACAGGCGTTTTGTTTTGTTTGCTGCTAAAACATCATTTACAGTTGTAGTTGTCGTTTAAGACAACGTCCTGGGCTTACTCTGTAGGATTTTTACACAAATTCTGGGTAGATTTGCTATGTTTTGCGAGTCCTTTATACGCTCACGGTGGCTGTCACGATCGATCGAGTTGCCTTTGAAATTTGGGAAACATTGAATTCCCGAAACAATTTTTCTTAAAAACACAGAGTTGACTTAAGTTGTTCTAGCAGGTGAAGCCTCCTTTATATGCGAATTTCGTCTCCAACAGTACAAAAGTGACCTTGCGCGAAAAAAGCCGCGCGCCGCCATATTTGTTTTCGTCTTTCGGGTTTTAAATCTTGCGCCTCCATCGTGCGTGTTACTCACGCGTGACGCACGATGATAATCTACTCCCCGCGCGAGAAAACTGGTATCAACCACCTTAAATCAAATTGGAATACAGAACACGTTGAAAGAAACCAAAGAAATAAGCGAATAAGGAGTGACAGCCAGCGGGACATCTTGTTAGCTTTTCTAACGGTAATAAAATTGACAAAAGCAATTTTCTTTCAGTATTTATTCGTTGTTCTGGGTTAAACACCCTCGTATTCACCCGTTATTCGCATACAACATACCCCCATTTTCAGCCGAATGTAATAGACCGTGAATTTTACGACCGTTGTTTTTCAATCAACATCCATCCTCAAATGGAACCTAATCGAACCCAGTCGTACTAATCGAACTTGATCGAGCCCAACTGAATCGAACTCACTCGAACGTTCGATTGCGTTTAATTGGTCAATTTTTTTTGAGTTCGATTGTGTTCGATTACCCAACTCGAACCCAATCGCGTGATTGCGTTCGATTAAGTTCGACTGAGTTCGATTTGGTCCGATTAGTAACGTCGGGAATACAAAAAAGAAATACCAAAAAAATGCACTTATAATTGTGGTTACTTTTATTTTTGTCAAATCTTAATGGAAAGTGTTGTTAATATACGCGCCATAATCCATTATTTGGAGCAAAACGGTGTCTGCGCTCTGAAACCGACTTTGAGGACCTTGTGACAACACTGGTTGTAGACATACAGGAAGCACAATAGATTCTAACTTGTCTTCACTTGATAACTGTTTAAAACTGAATAGAGAACTGTATACTTCGTCACATAGGTGCTATAAATAATAATATCAAAACATTTAAACAGAGTTGCACTGGAATGTTTTGTTTTGTCTTGTTCGTAGTTTGTTAATCTACTCTACTGATATACCATGTTGCAAATAAAACTTGTATTTTGAAATAACGCATATGTTGTAAGATAATAAATATCTAAAAAGGGTGCAAGTATTTTTATTCTCAGCAATCTGGGTGTTCTATTTTAAGAGTCTAAAAAAAACTGATTGACACCCTTTTAGAACTGAACTACTTTTATTATACCAGACTTGTTTACGTGAGTTCAATATTAACACTAAAGTTGACTGGTGGAAAAAAGAAGGATATTTACACCTTTATGTAATGGTTATGTAGAAGCGTCACTTCAGTCTCATATGTTCGTCATAATGTTGGATGACACATGCCTCGCTACTAAATTCCTTCAGACAAATCCAACAGGTCAGGCTTTCAACTTGGCTCGAATTTTCTTCAGTCAAAGAAGACAGCATACATGATTTCTTGCCACCGAGAGTTGCAGCTGGCTCCTGAAGGTCTCCTCTTGATTTAAAGCAATGATCATGTTGCTTCTGTTTTGACGAGCTGGCTCTTGCATGTCTCTCTTGATGTAGCCTGCAGTTTGACGACTGACTGAAGGACTTATTGCAATGCTTGCATGTATATGGCTTCTCTCCTGTGTGAGTTCTTTCATGTTGCCTAGCTCATCAAGAATATCTGATGACATTTAAATTGATGACGTCACAAGTGGTACAAAGAGCACGACCATTAAATGGCCGTATATGGCCACTTGGGCGTCAAAGGGTTAAATCGTTAGTAGGTTTTAATACACAGTTTCAGAAGTAAAAGAAAGTTTTAAACTTTTACCTGCTAAAAAGGTTAAGAACACTTGGCAATAAATTACGAAACATTTTGGCAACAAAAACAGCTTTAAATTTTAGCGGGCCGTACAGTAGATTACGGCCCGCTAAATTGACCTATCACAGCGCGCGTACTAAAACCAGTGTTTGATTGTATGCTTTATCGCTCATTAGAAGATTAAAACCGGGGCTGGATATTTCCGGCAAGAAACCATAACAAGATCATGTTGAATAAAGAAAATAAGGGGGTTTTAGTTTTTGGGTCTTACTTTTCTGGTCTTAGTTTTTAAGTCTTATTAGTTTTCAGGTCTTAATTTTTGGGTTTTAGTTTTTGGGTCCTAGTTTTGTCGTCTTAGTTTTTAGGTCTTAGTTTTCGGGTCTTAGTTTTTGGGTCTTAGTTTTTGGATCTTAGATTTTGTGTCTTAGTTGTTAGGTCCTATTTTTCTGGTCTTAGTTTTTGGGTCTTAGTTTTTAGGTCCTAGTTTTCCGGTCTTAGTTTTTGGGTTGGGTCTTAGATCTTAGGTCTTAGCTTTCGGCGGTCAGAGTTTTCGCTACAACCACGCTTAAATAGTGAATGTGACATTCACGCAAACCCGCAGATTTAAACCTCTGTGTAAACGCTGGATGTGTTTGTTGATGCACCTGTGATTAAA